TGAACCAAGGGGTTGTACCTTATTCTCTCCGGCCCGTGATGGTGACTCCTAGTCTCAGTTGTTACCTCGCATGGCGCGCAGAGGGAGTGGAGGATTCCAGAATATCTGTCGTTGATTTCTATTGACTTGCGGACCCCTCGGGGCCACTTTATTTGAGTGGTACCATTATTTGGGCAAGTCAGCCTGCGACCACGGGAATCGACCGCGTCGAGTGTTGCATCAGTACGGACATACGAAGGTACTGGTTAGAGAAAGATCGAAACAGTTTTTAATGTGAAGACAGCAACAACAACAACAACAACCACGACAAACAACATATTCGCCTGATTGAGAGCGCAGCATCTGATTGAGAGCGAGATTGCGCGATACGCTGTAGCCGGACTACCACTGAGAGGTGGAGCTTGCTGTGTAGCTTGAATTGAAGGGCTAGCCCGTAGCTTCAAGCCGCTACCCTGGTCATCCTGTGGGAGTCTCTCGTTGTGGAGCTACAGCGGGGAGCAGAAGCTACAGCAGAGCCCACCGCCCGACGCGATACCGCCCTGAAACAGTTTGAGCAGAAATAGCCAATCTGGGCAAATCTAGCAACTTGTCTAGCTCCTCGCTGCAGCATCCGATGACGATGACACGCATATGCTCGCGAAGCTGCTGATGAGACCTTCAATTTGCACCGCTTCTTGGAATAGCCCGTCCCCTACTTGCCAAGAAATGGCAAGAGGCGTCTGGACCCGAAATTTCAATTTTTTTGGCTCTCGCTCTCAATCAGATACTTCGCTCTCAATCAGGCGAATATGTTGTTGACACCGAACCAACACCCACACACACCTTTTCCTGTGTTCACCTGCCTGCTGGATGCTGCCCTGTGCGGACCGAGCGGGTTTGATGAATTCTTAAAAAAAAAAACTAATTCTGTATCTATCCGATTGGATCGATCGGCGGTTGGTTGTATTAGCATATGCTTCTTCGCAAGGCACGACGCATTCATCAGCCCGGTCTACCGTTCTTTACGGTAAACGAATGAATGTCTAAAAGATCTAAAAATATATATCAAGCTGTAAGTCTCTTAGGTTGAGGTTCACGGATAGCATCTAAGAATTTTAACAAAAATGAGGTTTAAAAAGAGATATAAATCTTGTTTATTGTCTACTATTAATAGGACAAATATTTGGGGAGATCTTTCAAAATAAAAAACTTTTCTTCGCCCTAAATGGGATAGTATTATAGCTCGTTTTTGAAGTCAAAAACGTCGTCATCGTCCCCAAAAAGTCATCCGCAAACAGCATTCCTGAAACCGACGTTTCCGTGTCCCCTACTTTTACTCCCTTCCGGACTGCCTCTACGACTTCCAACAGATCGTTGATGAACACCTGGAACAATGTTGGGGACAGCGTGCAACCTTGTGGGACCCCCTGCTCAATGTCGAAGAATTTTGACAGTTCTCCGTCTAGCATGACCGCGCTTTTCGT